ATTAAATATCTTGCATAAGAGGGATGGGAAAATCGTATTTGCATCGGCTTTTAAAATGCTTACTGTGACACCATCAGGTCTTGGACTATAAGATTGACGAAAACGCAGAATCGCAACAGTCACATCCCACAGAGTGAAAGTTGTAGTTTCTAGAACTGCCCCGGCCAATGACTGGATGGTCGGAAGCGGAGTGGTCGAGTCTTCAATAAACGTTTTGGACAGGAAATCATTGAAGCTATCAGCTGTTGACTGGGCATCAACTATGGGATTTCCGAGATCGTCTCGAAGGATGGGATACTGCGTCTTTCTCTGAGTTCGTATTTTTCTAGAGAAAAGTTTCAAGACATTTAACGAATGGTTTTCGGTAAACTGGACCTCCTCGGCTAGCTGTTTTTCTTCAGACAATCTCTTAGCCCGCTCAAAAATATCACAAATCAAGGGCAGAACAGAAACATCGTTCTGCAGATGGAATCGACGAGAAAGTCTGCGCAATCTGCGGCGAAAGGGTAAGGGTAGGAAAACTTCATCCCCAAGTTTAATAATTTTCTTTAGGGGGACAAAACGAGAAATAATCGGATCCAAAATTTCGTACAGTTTTGCAGCGCAAACATTTACATCCGAACTAAGGAAGAAATCAGTCCAGTCGTAGGAATTAAGGTGTGTTAATAATTCAGTTGAGCGAGTTGATCGGAAATCGCGGGAACAGTTATACTTTGGGGACAAGGTTTTGTCAGCCTCGAATTCCAACGTTGAAACAACTATGTCATGGTCTGAGCCCCCGAGTGGGCCTAGGGATGACACTGACGATGGCATGCAGCCTCTACAGAAAATTAGGTCAAGTATGCTTGATCCTCGGATGGGAAAATCGACAACCCAAGTCTACATCCCAACACCCACAACCTCAAGAAAGCCTTCGAACCTTCTGGGACCTGAAGGCGGACTTCAGGGAGATTAAAGTCACCCGCAACCAGTTGATACTTAAAGCTTAAATCGGCCGCAGCATGAAATGCCTGTGAGAGTAAACGATCAAAATTCTCGTTCGCGTTGAGAGGGCGATAGACGCAGCCAACGATTAGGGAGAACTTATTTTTTAGTGCAACTTGGAGCCAGCAGCTGCCTTCTACTGCAGAAAAGTGCGGGAGGTCAAGCGGCAAAAATGTAAGTGTTTGCTTAACGTAGACGCAGCTGCCCCCACCACGGCTATCTTGGCGATCATTTCGGATGCAATGATAGCCTAGAAGCGAGAGTTCGGAGTCAGCTACGGAGGCTGATGCCCATGTCTCGGTTAGTAAAACAATGTCCGGACAATGGACGAACACCTGAGTCTGAAGCAAAGGCATCTTATCAAGCAAGGATCTGGCATTTAAAACAAAAAGTATAAAGGGAAAGGCTGTATGTTTCTGAGGGAGATGGGCTACACTGGATATTTTCAGTCTCCATTCCTTTTGATGAAATTACGACTGGACCAAACAGAAGCATTGAAGAACAGTTGCTCGCTGTCGGCAGGGTAAAGTGTCCCTAGTATTGCGGGCTGTGGAGCCGGCACCGTTTCTCACGTGGTAAGAGTGGCCAGAGTGATCAGTGACCTCGAACTGCATCACTACGGTAGATTAATTCTGAATGCAAAAAACGATATTAAACGGAGGAAGAAATAAGTAGCCGTCGTAGTGATTACCACATTGGGGGTGATGGGGATGTTTTGATCTAGCAAACGGGTTAAAGTACATTGTTTTAAAGCTTAAGCAGAAAAAATAGTCCATTTTAACTCGACGGTCGAGGCCAAATAAAATCGAACATTTTTTAGGCCAGCTCTAACGGACATTTCAAAAAGACTCATTATAATATGGCTGATTTTAGAATTTTGGAGGATAATCCAGATCGCTTTCAGTGCTTGGGAGACTACCAGGGCGCAGTGCTCCGAAAGAGTAAGACTCTTGAAGTTTGATGCACCTAGATACTTAATAACTTCATGCACACTTATGTCATAACCGTCAGTACTTAGTTGTGGTTGGTGGTCATCAAGAACCACCATAACTGAGCATTTATTTTAATAAAGGGGAAGGTACCATGCAAAAAACCACTGGAAAAGGGCCTGTTGGTCACTTCTTAGTCTCGAGTACGATTTCGCGATCTGCCGGCTTCTATCTATATGCAACTTTCAGATCATCGGTATACATGAAGAACTTACCATTCTGAGATAAATCTGGTACATCG